CTAGCATCAACCTTTGGGACCATCCCCACCTACCATCACAGCGTAGACCAAATCTTCCCTCAAACCTGAGCTCCACCTTGAGAGCAGAGCAGAAGCATCAAGTACATGGAAGAGAAACAAAGCACCTCTCATTTCACAAGAAAGGAAGTGATAGTTAATGATGATGAGGTAATAGCAATTTCTTTTAAAAAATGTAACATTTGATAACCCTAGTGATAAAAAAAACAAAAAAACAAATCACAAAGTAACTTTACTTTTTTGGACCAACTGCTTGGTCCAATAAGAACAATAGTGTTTTAATTGTAATGTAACCATTTTAAAATAGAAGAAAGGAGCGACGCAGCAAGATTTTGACAATAAACCAGCTGCATGGAAATATTCAAGGGCTCCCACCTGTGCAAGACAAGTTCATGCCAAATGACACCTAACTAAAATTATTAGTAAACATACATGACAAAATTTGCCTAAAATTCATAATAAAATTCTAATGATGTTGACAGCTTTCTATGCAAGATGCTTTCCTGTCCGAGCCTTCTGCTTCCTGCTAATCTGCAAGAAAATGTAAGTGCCCATGGATTAAATCTGGTGAGAGTCACAGCTAATAAAAGTGAATTTTCAAGTTTAATTATTCAGCTGGTTTACCTCCCCCACACCATCACCATTTTTAAACATAATTACAGAAAAACCTGCAGTTTTCCTGAAGTGTCACAAACTTTCAGGTACTTATTTACATAGTTAATATTCTCAAAATAAACTTTTTTCTTTAGTCTTCTGTCTTTTTAGGAAAAAAATAGAAGGAAATGCCAATAGACAGGTACTCAAACTGAAACATATGACTGTTTTCCTCTACTTGATTTTGCTGAAAATAATAAAATGTACGTATAAAAATGGAAATCATTGCATAGAATTTTGTATGCATTTCAGCTATCCCTACTGTTAAAGCACTTTTAATAGCAAAGCCTGCAAGAAGATTCCTACAGATTAAGTGAACTTCTCTGGATGACAAACCATGATGAGACACTTTGAACAGGCACAAGAGGAAGAGGAAGAGTACTCACCTCTTGGGTACTTTTGTTCTTAAATTTAGAATACAAATAACTTCCTTTTTCAGGTTCCTTCAGCGGAAAAGATTCGTCTGCTCTTCCACTAACAACCAAACTTGTATTGCTGCTTTCTGTTACATTAATGGCATTGGGGTTAGTTAGACTTACACGAAGAGACTTCACTTCTCCAGATTCCAAATTCTGTAACTCAGCACTGCTATCTGTGGTCGTGGCATTGTTGGGTGTAGTTATTTCATTAGCAACATTCTTATTGCTTGTAAAACTGTGTTGTTGCTCAGCGTTTTCTACTCTGTGAAATTCTTTGGCCTGACTGCTCCTCAGATCTTTGTGTATACCCTCAGATTCATGACTTGGGCAACCTGTTCTGTCAAAGCTTTTACTTAGTGTGACATGATTATGATGATGGTGATCATGCTCATGCTCATGGTCTATTTTGATTCTTTTCCTTTTATCTATGCCCATATTCTGCAGCAGTTTTCTAAACCCTTCAATTGTCAAAGTGTTGTTCTCCCCATAACGGTGAAAGAGTTCCTGAAGGTGATGCCTCTGCGTAAGTGCTGCCAAGTCGGGGTTGATACCAGCTGTCCTTTCTAGAATGGTTTTTTCCAAAACTTGTTCAGCAGTTGCTGTCTCCACTCCATGATTGTGGCTCTCGCAGAAAAATGCAATGGAAAGCGACAAGAAGAAAGTCATTGCCAGCTCATTCTCCATTACAGCTTCAAAAAAAATTACTGCAAGAGAAAATGAAAAAAAAAAAAAAAAAAGTATATAAAGTGATGCTTTCTCCTATAATTCCGTTTAGTGGACTTGAATTATTAGCAAAAAAGTATCAAAGCATGAGGAATGTTTTAAATTAAGACACTACCAGTCCTAAAACTGGACTTCGATACATTTAGATGAAGCTTCGAGTGGGCCAACACTTTGAAGAAATTTCTGGGCAGCAAGCTAAGCCAACAAACGACAGCAAAAGGCATATCGGTGTAATTTCACTGGTTTTAATTTAAATTGGTGCAACACATGTATTCATACAAGATCTGCACGTTTCAACTTTGACCAAATATTAGTGCAGCAGTGGTGGCATGGGCACACAAACAAGCTGTCCTGATATAAGCAAGAGCAGAGATATACACCCCTGATAGCTTCTTCCATCCCCACTCTTATCTCACAGTAAATGTAAACTAACTCATGGTAACTTACCACTCTTTCATTAAGAGAAAGATATGACAGGAGCTTTAATCAGCTAAAGGATCATAGAAAAGTAGGGCTGGAAGGGACCTCCAGAGGTCATGCAGTCCAACCCCCTGCCTGAGGAGGAATCATTTCTATCCAAACCATCCCTTACAAATAGGGGCATGCATGGGGCTATGCTATAACACTCCACCCTTCTTCAATTTGCTGTCACTCAGTTTCTCTCAAGGCCTGGCTGTAACACTCTGGTTTGTCTTTTGGCTAAAATCAAGCAAAACCGGGGGCATCTGAACCCCAAGGCCTCCAGGCCTGGGGCTTGCATGTAGGAAACCTGCCTGGATTTGGGGACTAACCAAAGCCCCAGACCAACAGGTGTTGGAGGGAGGATACTTGCCCAGTGGTAGAGCCACAAGGACTTGACAACTGAGTTCCATTCAGCTGATTTTTGGAACTTGACTCCTGGGCTTTGCCCATCTGAATTTAGAACTGATTTGGCCTTGATAAAAATAATAATTAAAAAATCCATTTCAGCTTCTAGGCTCTTAATAAACCCACAGTTCTGAGCCCCTGCCTAGCAAAGCACCTCAGGATGAATGGAGGCAGTGACAGGAATCCCAGTGCTGCACAGTGTTGCCTGGCGTACAATAATTAGGGGTGCACCAGTAGATATTTTTGGGGCTGACAGCCGATTTTTGAGGCAGTATATTGGCTGATACCGATCTGATTTCCGATACCAGCCTGGCAGCTTGAAGAGCAGTGTCCAGCTGGTAAGTCTGCTGTGGTAAAAAAAAAAAAAGGGGGGGGGGGGGGGGGGGCAGATCAAGTCCTCCCAATGGTGAGGGAAAAGTAGGGCTGAGGCAGAGGCAAGCGCTGCCTAGCCGGGGCAGAGTGGGTGCAGGTTGGAACCGCGGCTTGCACGGGGGGTGTGGGAAGGGGGCAGCTCCCACTGATGCGCGCGAGCTGTTCATCTGGGAGCTACTTGTTCAGTGGCTTGTCAGGTGCTTGCCCACTTGTTCACTGTCTCCCACCACTACTCCCGACCTGCAAGAGGTGGGCTGAGCTGGGGCTGCACGCAGGGCAGGTGGTCCTGGGAGGGGGCTATGGGCAGGGGATGCAGCAACCCCAGAATTCACTGTAGCCCCCTCAGCCCCCTGCCCAGAGTACAGCCCTGGCCTCAGCCCACCCCACCCAGATCTGGGGGCACATGCACACCCATCCCTTCCCAGACAAGTAGCAGGAGCAGCCACAGAAGCTGCTGGACAAGCGGGCAAGTGCCAGACGAGCCACGGGATGAGCACTGGATAAGTGGCTCCGGGACAAGCAGTAGACAGCGGTGGGAGCCCCCCCCCACCCTGAGCCCCCCAGACAAGCTGCAGCCCCATCCCATGTCTGCCTTGCCCCAACTGTGAAGCACTTGCCCCAGCCCCAGTCCCACTCCTCCCTCACTGTGGGGGCCTTGATCTGCCCCCCCATGCCCCTTCCCCCAACCTTTCTACCACAACAGACTTACCAGCTGCATGCATGTGCTCCTTGTCACCTACACGCGGTGCTGCGGCTGCACACACGCACAGGCATTTATTGGCCAAATTATCGGCCACGTCAGGCCGAGTTCTGATACAGACAATTTTCTTTACATCAGTGCTGATCCAATACTGGACCGATGCACCTCTAATGATAATTACTGTATTTATACGGTAATTTCAACCCAATCAATAATAGCACAAGTGCTCAAAACGTAAGGTAATTTTTGAGGCAGCTCAGTGATGCAGCACATGCAAAACCCAAGTCACTGAGGGAATCTGAACCAACTTTGGGTTCGCTGTCAGCACTTCCTCATGATGGACGGCCTCACAATAAAGAAACGCTTCAACCTGGATGACCCCGTTCTCACTGGAGGCCTAAGGGGAGCAACATGAGGTAAAGATGACGACGTATGGGCACTTATCTAAATACTGACCTGCGTATTTTTTTTAGGGTGCCGGAGTTTTTCAGCAGACAAGACCATTTCGAGAGATCCTTTTATACAGAGGACCCTGGCCAGGAGCGCCCCCCTCCCCGCAGACCCAACACCGCCCCCACCCAGGGGTGCTGGGACCGCCCCTCAGCGCCGCCTCCGACACCTGTCCCGCCGCGTGGCCTCATGGATTCAAAGACAAAGGAGTCGTGTGCGCGCGCAACTGCCCGACCCGGCTCGCCCCGCGCCACCCCTCCCCTCCCCTCCCCCCACGGCCCCAGTTGGGGGGGGGCACGTTACCGGCTGGCGACCCCCGGCATGAACCCAAGGCGCCCCGCGCCGCTCGCTTCTTCCGGCCTCCCGCGCCCCGCAGCCAATCGGGGTGGGCGCGGATGCAGCAGTTGGGGCGTGTCCGGCACGGCCGTGGGGGTGGGGTTCTGCTACGCCATGGGTGACGTCACGGAAACGGGGAGTCGTGATGACGTCGCCGCGCCGCGAGGAAGGCGGGAAGGGTCTTGGTGGTAGGGTAAGCGCCCGCTGTCCCCCTGTGGGGTCTGGCACAGTGGCTGCCCACGTAGGCGCCAGGCCTGCAGTACGAAAGCATCCTATTGGAAGCTCAATATGATTCTCTCGGCTGCTAAATATTACACACGGAAAAAAACCCCGGCAAATAAGTCCTTTTATTTCCTTCGTCTTGCTCGCTGTAAGCTGCGCGTGAGGAGAGGGTCATCCGAGTTGAAGCTTTGCTTTATTTCAGTCGTAAGGAAGAAACTGGAACCTTAGTGAAGGCTCCCTGAGAGGGGGTTGATGCAGCCGATGCAAAACGCAATTAGCTGCCTCAAAAAGGATCCTAGGCTTTTAAAAATAATCTTTTGCAAAAATCTTGTTCATCTAAGTCTAGTCAGTGACAACCATAGTATTTGAGTCCTTTGTTTGTGCTCCATATACCCAGTCTGGATCCAAATACCCCTTCCACTTTCCTAACTACAGCTGGTTGCAATGAAAAGGGTGCTCCTGAAAAATTCTGAAAAAAACAGGACCAAATGGGGGGTTTACAAGGCTGAAACTCAGTTTAATTATATGGTAGACACTTTTTTTTTTTTTAAGTGAAAAAGAATACCCTTTCTTAAAGTGTCTGCCCTCTTATTTTCCAGCATGGAAAGGCTTAGAAACATAAAATGTTGAAAAAAGATTTTCCGCAAGAAAACCACAAATGCAATGATACTGTTTCAAATTATGAAAAGAAATATGTTTCATCAAACATTTTTGATGCAAGAGATAAACCCTGTATTCACAGTTTGCAAGGGATCTGGCATGGAAGAAGGGACAAGTCTTTGTTCTCAGGGAGGTGACAGAGTTTGCTTGTGATCTGTCTCTTTGAGTGAATTTGCCTTGTCTTCCTGCAGTGTTTGCTGAGTGCTTGGGGGAGGCGTGACTGCCTGTGATCACTTCTGTGCTTTAGATGGCACAGGGCTAACCCAGATGTAAAAAAAAACAACAACAAAAAAAAAACTGAAAAGAAACTTATTAGTGATGCTTGGAAAGTAATGGACACTTGGACAGCAAAAAGGGAGCTTGCAGGAAGAAGACTGAGAGCACAGATAGACTTGACACTTACATCTCTACTATAAAAGAACACCCATACACTAGGCCTGTGGAAGTAGACAGCTATTTGATCTGGCTTTGGATCTGGCAGGTTCGGATGCCAGGGATCCAATCCGGACCTCTGGACCGGGTTCCTGCTTTGATCCAGCCAAAGCAGCTCCAAAGCTTCGGAGCCGCCTCGGAAATCCAGCCATAGGGTATAATGGGGAATCAATGAAATATCTATAACTTCGTTGTTTTTGGATGAAACTTGCAGGGGTGAGGCCACAAAGCCTGCCAAGTTTCAAGATCGGTGCAGGGGTTTGGGGGGAACTGCACCTCAAGCTGCTGACAGGCAAAACTCATGACATAGATGACGCTGTGTGTGTTAAGGCGCAGCAGGGTGAAAGCTGCAGGGATGGTGACGGGTGCTTGTGCAACTGACTGTTTCTGTCTTGGGGCAGTTGATTGTCTGTATTGATTCTTTAGTGAGCGCTCTCCTAGGGTGCCCTTGGGAACTGGGAGTGCCAATGGAAACTGGGAGTCCAGAAATCTCATGTCCCCGTGTTGGAACGAGGAGTCCAAAAGTGGAGAGGTATCCAGGGATTGGGGACTGGAAAGGCAGAATCCCAGTAGCAAGAGTGCAGGAGTCTCCTGAAAGAGGTGTAGGAGTCTTGTGGTGGTGGCAAAGGTATGGGGGTCTTGGGGTGCCAGAGCAAGAATTTTTTTTGACAGCTGCAGTTTCACTCCTCCTCCACCGTGAAGTCTCCCCGTTCTGGGGTCTCTCCGCTCTTTTGTAATGCATGGGGTCTCTTGCCTCTCATGATACCCACTATGCCCCAGTTACTGAGAGCAGCAGCACCCCCCTCTGAGTGCCAGGAGACCCAGTGCCCACAGTTCCCCAAGTGCTGGGAGTGGGAGCACCCAAGTGCTGGAAACAGTGGTACCAGGAGCACCCCACATGCTAGGAGCCCCAGCTTTCTGGGCACTGCTGGCACCATCACTCCTGGCACTTGGTGTGGGGAGGA